GGTGAGACAATCAAAACACAGTGACAGCTGCTCCCTTCGGACCAGAAGCATCAAACTGTTTTGTCTCTCCATTTGCTAAAGGGGAATGGGTGACAATGAGACTAGGCCTGAAAGAATAGGAAATCCGAGGTGCCAGAGATCCATGCGTCAATGAGTTGGTTTTAAAGAAATTATACCTGCTTTCTCCTCCTGCAAATTCCTCCCCCTGCCCCCCCTGCCAGGAGCTGTTTTCTTGTTTATATAGGTTCCAGGTAGGATAATGATACTTTTAAAAAGAATTTTTTAAAATGTTTATTATGGAAATTATAAAAAATATATAAAAGTTGTTGTTATTAGGTGTTGTCAAGTAGATTCTGGCTCCTAGCGACCCTGTGTGCAACAGAACCAAACACTGCCCTGTGCCACCCTCACACTCCTGGCTGTGCTTGAGCCCATGGTTGCAGCCACTGTGCCGGTCCATCTCGTTGAGGGTCTTCTCCTTTTTCTCTGACTCTCGGCTCTACCAAGCAGGATGTCCTTCTCCAGGGAGTAGGTGAGATGCAGTCCGGCCATTCTCGCTTCTGAAGAGCACTGCAGCTGCACTTCTTCCAGGATAGGTTTGCTTGTTCTTCTTGTAGTTCATGGTGTTTTCAGTATTCTTCACCAACCCCACAATTCAAAGGCATCAATTTTTCTTTGGTCTTCCTTATTCGTTGTCCAGCTTTCATGCGCATATGAGGTGATTGAAAATACCATGCTTAAATTAGGTGCATCTTAGTCTTCAAAAAAACATCTTTGCTCTTCAACACTTTAAGCAGGTCTTTTCAGCAGCTTTGCCTAGTACAATATGACTGTATAAAAAAGTAGGGAAAATAATATAATGAACCTCCATTTCCCCATTATTCAACTTCAGCAATCATCAATCCAACATTATACCTGGCTTGTCTTCCCTCCTCACACTGGGTCATTTTGAAGTAAATCTTTAATCTTGACTATATTCTCTCCATTTGCTGAAGGGAGATTATTATTCCTCATCTATCAGTGGACTATGACCTAGAACACTTGAGCTCCAGACCTAGTTTTGACAATCACGAGGAGCTCTGGTAGCATAGTGGCTAAAGCACTTGACTGCTAACCAGAAGGCTGGCGGTTCAAACCCACTAGCCACTCCTCGGAAGGAAGGTTGGGCAATCCTACTTCCGTAGTGATACTGCCTCGGAAACCCAAGGAGGGGTCGCTATGAGTCGGGGCCGACTCGACGGCACATAACAACAACAACAACAGGGGTAAGTCATGTAATCTTCCTGGACTTCCATTTTTTTCGCTTAAGTAGGTGAACTAGATGACTTCTAAGGGCCCTTCAAGTTCTAGAAACCAACACTTCTTGCCAGGGTTATCCTTTAAACATTCAAAGACATCTCAATTTTACAGGATCTATTTGCTGTTGTTTTCCAATTTATTGCTGTTTCATGCAATGCCCAGTTCAGTGTTAAGACTCTCTCAAGAAAGAGCCAACTAAAAGCCCTAGAAGCTTCTGAGCAGTGGGATCTTAAACCTGGGGCTTTAGAAAATAAGTGAGCATTTGAAGCCATTCTTGGAACAGTTTTGTACTGCTCTCAGTGTCTCTTCTGAAAACCTCAATCTGTCTTAAACATTTTGGTGAGTTGTGATGCTGAGAAGGTTCAAGTTATCAAAATAGATTCCCCTTTTAAAAATACCACCCTGAAACCAGTATCCAAAACCAAACCAAACCTATTGCCATCAATCAATTCCAACTCATAACGACACTTTAGGACAGAGTAGAACTGCCCCTTGTGTTTCCAAGGCTGTAAATCTTTATGGAAGCAGATTGCCTCATCTTTCTCCAATGGAGTGGCTTGTGGGTTCAAACTGCCCACCTTTTGGTTAGCAGCTGAATGTTTTAATCACTATGAGACCAGAGTTCCTTCTTGAAACCAATGTTGCTGTTGTTATGTGCCGTCCAGTCGGCCCCGACTCATAGCGACCCCTCCTTGGGTTCCGAGGCAGTATCACTACAGAAGTAGATTGCCCCATCTTCCTTCCGAGGAGTAGCTGGTGGGTTTGAACCACCAGCTTTCTGGTTAGCAGTCAAGTGCCTTAGGCACTAAGCTTGAAACCAATAGCTAGTGAAAAAGTGATGTTTGTATTCTTTTTTGGGAGGTTACATTACTTTTTAGCCAACAAGGGACTGATTTCTGTCAGGCTTCAGGAGATCAGTAAGGAGTAAGGATATCTTTTTCACAGGTAAATAAACGGAATGTGAAGTGAAATAGGTGTATTTAAGGTTGTCTGGTAAATGGAAGATTAACCCTTGAATAGAATGTGTCTTTTAGAATTAATGGAAACCAGGCTTATGGTAGAGGTTCAGGTTTAGGTGAAGGCGTGGATCCTCTTTGGTTATTGGAGGAAACTTTGGGCGAGAAGATGTCACCTAGCCCAGAGGTGCCAATAACAGTGACCCTCATGGTCTGTGTCATGTGCCTCCTGTTTCCCCCCTCATTGTGGAATGATGGAATCATGAAGAATAAGTGACCCAGCACCACTCAGCTGGTAAGTAAGGGAGCTGGGCTGGGACCTAGGACTTCTAGTTGCTGCTGTAAATTTGTCCTTTGAAAGAGGATCAAGAAAATGAGACCAGAGGAAGGCTAGTTGGAAAATGAAACTATTAGATGTCAGTGTGGTGAGAGAAGAGCAAATGCTTACAAATATTGCAAAAGCTTATTTTAAAAAATCACCAAGATGTCTTAAAAGCTCATAAGCGGCCATCTAGATGCAAGAGCGTGTTTCTCCTCATCCAGAGCAAATAAGAATGAAGAAAACCAAAGACATATGGAAACAATTAGTCCAAGGCACTAGTAGGCCATGCAATCCTCAGCCTATATGACCATGAGACCAGAAGAACTAGATGGTGCCTGGCTACCACTGTGAACCACTCAGAAAGGGATCAGTGCAGGAGATCCTGGATAGAGTAGCAGAAAAATCTGGAATAAAACTCAGAATCATAAAAAAGACCAGGTTTGCTGGTCTGATAGAGCTTGGTGATACCCCTGAGACTATGGCCCCCAGTTACCCTTCAAGTCTGGAATTGAACTCACTATCATGGCTTCTAGCCAAACCATAGGCAAACACATAGGGTGAACATTTACACCAGGTAGATACACTCCTTAGAATGATCAATTGTGGGAGAACAGAAGGGCATTATTTGCATAGGGAGATAGCTCAGGGGGCAGGAATGAACAGGAAAGAAGGACACAGGGAAGAGATAACCACAGGGAGGAAGAGGGAAGAGAGCTGTTCCGTTGTGGGGAATTGCAGTCAGTGTCATGAAACAAAATGTGTATGACCTGCTGTATGAAAAATGAATTTTCTCTGTAAACTTTCACCCAAATCACAATAAAAATTAAAAAAGAAAAAAAAAATCACCAAGACCCAGAGAAGAAGGAAGTAAAGTACTCAAGTGGAACAGGCTCCTAAAATTACCATTTTAAAAGCACAAGCTCTAATCAGCTCTGAAAGTTTGCAGGGTCCTGTTGACAGGAACTATTGTTTTGGTGTGAAGGTTTTAAATTGAGGGTCAAGTTTAAAAGTGACCAAAATGAAGGATGATTATTTCAAGCTGAAACCAGTATTTCATACTGGGGAGCTTGCAGGGTTTGTGATTTTCAGGGTTGGTTGCTGTATTCTGAGGAATCCCCAAATGGCAGGACACACTACTGGCCAGTTCTGAGGAGGACCAAAATGTGCACCCTCTGTGTCCTTCTACCACAACTACTCAGTGATTAGATTCTGAGGCCAGCTCTGGGCAGGAAATGGTAAAGGAATCACCAGGAAGTCTAAAACAAGGGAAAGGAAACTCCTCCCTCCCAACAAAGAACAGGCAAGAGTGACAAGGAAAATGGAAAGTGGGGGCATGAGTCTCGAACTCTTTGGGGGAGCTGTAAGGATAGACCGTGTTGAAATGGAAAGTGATTGACTCCTGAAAGGAAGTAAAGAAAAAGTATGTGCCCCCAGGAGGAGGATGTGTGCCAAATTGTTATATTTATTGTGTTACTTTACTATGAAGCCTCTTTCTGGCATTCTTCAGTCTTCCAGAAATCTGTTCCATTATCCCTGGGACCAGGGCAAATGCTCTAACTTTATTTACAGGGGCAAGTGGTTTGTGTGTTTTCTGAGGTCCAACAGTCCACCAAGAGGAGAACCTACCCTTACTCCTGATTTCCAGCTCATTCAAGAGAAAAAGGATAAAAAAATCAGCTTGGATAATTTTACCAGGAGAAAAGATGGAAGTATAAATGGAATCAGATCATGAGAAATATTTGGTTTGAAAGAGCATAGGACCATAAACTTTTCTTCAAGTTCTTCATATGTGAAAATCCTCACTAGATTCTTGAAGTAGAGGCAGGCTGGTAATTCAATGGGAGAAACTGAGTCTAAGAAGAAGCCATTTGTCTGAAATCTGACAGCCTTTCTGATAGATTAGAGCAGCTTCAAAATTTTACTTCTTGAGCTTGGTTCAGTGGACTATGCTATTCCCTGATGAAAAAGAAAATTAAGAATATCTTATGTGAAGGTGCTCAGTGATAGAAAGGTGGCTAGCTCCCTTATCTCATCAACAGTGCAAGAGCTTCTTAATGTTAGCAATCTCATGTTTGGATTGTTACCTGAAGAAAGTAAAAACAAACTGGCCTGAATGCTGATTTTGCTGTTTCAATGGGAAAATATTTTTAACTGGCAAGTGGCAAAAAACAAAACTAAAAAAAAAATAGGCCTGGGGAGAGTCGAATGCAGTTTCATAATGGGTATGAATAGTTATTTTGCTTGCACATTTTTTTTTTCAGTTTTGATGTGGACCTTTTTCTATTTGTTCAGGAAATTGTGACGTGGGTACTGGGAGGGTTTGAGGTTTTGGAACCTTTTCTAAAAGGCACAGACATCACCCCACTGCTTTCTAATCGTGTGGTTGGAGTGCAGGCGGCTGGAGTTGGAGTGTGCTGGTCACCATGCAGAGGACCCTGAAGTGCAGCAGGCTGGTCCTGGCTCTCTCTCTCATCCTGGTTCTGGAATCTTCCGTTCAAGGTAAGACCCAGGAGTCCTTGGTTGTTCCTTCTGTGCTCTTTTTTGTAAGCCCAGGGCCCACCCAAATGATTATGCTCATTTTAAAGCATGAGATTTACAATATTGTGAGAAAGTAAAAGAATAGTAGAAGAGTCAGGATTTGGGGTGGCTGAAATCCTTGGTGTGAGTTTAGCTAAGTTTAGTACTAAGAAAAATTAACCTCTGAAGCAGGTGCAGCCTTGTGAACTCTTATGACTGAGATGTGTCCTCTTATCCTGATGTGAAAATGTGTGTCTTAGAAACAAAAAAAAAAAGCTTAGGAAAGGAATATAGAAAATGACCCATTTGTTCTTTGCGTGGAAGAGATGCACCTTTGAGTGTTTTGGAGTTTCTACATCAAACTCAAGACCTCCTACCCACAAGGTCGACAGTTTGAACCCACCAGCCACTCCAGGAAGAAAGACAAGGCAATCTGCTTCCATAAAGATTGACAGCCTTGGAAACCCTGTGGGGCAGTTCTACTCTGTCCTATAGGGTTACTAGGAGTTGGAACTGACTCAGTGGCAGTGGGTTTGGTTGGGTTTGGTTGGTTTTGTTGGTGTCATTTATTTTAACACTGGGGATTGTTTTTTTTTTAAATAGGGATAAGTTTGACTGCATATAGGTTTTCTGTTTTTACTTGTTTCCTACTGAACATTCACTTCTGGTTAGGCAGAACTAATACAATCTCTTTTGGTTACATTTTAGGAAGAGAGCCCAAAGAATTTTAATGGCTATACTGTTGCTCAGAGAATCATCACACTTGGAAATTTCTTGTTAAGTTTCTCTATCATTTTGGGTTCTCTAATCATATAGAAATAATTTAAAACTCTTCATGATTAAGAAAATTAAAATGTTCAGTTTGTAAGAAAAATACTGTTTCTTCTCCTTTGATAAACATGGGATCATGTCTAAATAAGTTAGAAGGTCTTGGACAGCCCAATAGATGGCAGAATTTATAGTAGAAAACTGTTCAGTACCCCAAATCATGAAGGAAATGTTGAGTCACAGTGACACACATCCTCAATTTGTTTCTTCAACAGGACTTCTAGTTGTCATGATTCCATTTTGGATGGAAATGAAAATTTACAGGTGATCTCAGACACATTCATTATATATTGGAAACTTAAGATGATCCTAGTTATGTTAATATTGAAGAAGAAATCAATAAATAATGTGGATGAAAGTTTTCCGTTAAACTATTTCTTTAAAAAGTACAGTGAAACTTGTGAAAGTCAGAACTCGACAGGACTGCCTTGTTTTTCTGGGGCTCATAGGGTTTCCCCCATTGACAGGTTATAGTCTTGTGACATGTGTGCTTATCATTACTTTTCTGTTGTATTAGTGGGAAATATTTTAGTTTTCCTTCTCTGGCAGGTTTCTGCCTTACATAATTTCCAGCTTTCATAGGTTTTACTGTATAAAACATTGTTGATTTTAGGGTCTTTTAGGAAAAATCTTCAACTTGATGAAATAATTCCCTACTAATTAACTATGTGCTCTGATAAGATCAAGATCATTGTGAGAGTTAAGTGACCAGTTGGTGCTGGGGCTACCTTGACCAAAGCTAGCTAAATCTCTGTATTTTCAAAACTTCCCAAAAGTGCCACTTTCTCCTCTTAGATTTCATAGGTAAAACAGAATTAAAACATTAAAAAAAAAAAAAAAAGTTCCCTTTGTAGTATGTATTCATTGGAAAGAAAGAAAGAAGTAAAAAAAGAGAAACCAGAACAATATACATTTGGATAAAATACTGACATTCACGTCATCACCTGGTAGATTTAGATATTTGTTACAAAAAGAAACCAAGAAAGAGACAATAAATGAACTCAAAAACTTGGAAGCTTCTAAACAAGAAAGGCATTTTGCCTTGTGTTCAAGGCCTTGACAGGCACCTCTATCTAAATACAAAGAGAGAGGCCAATCCCTGGCTGCCTGTGTAAGTAATAGTAACAGGATGTAATACAGTCATGCCATTATTTCATCCTATGTCCATGTGATGCTAAATATGATTCTATGACATTCTCTATTTTCACAAATTTTCACCTAACCCATTGGTTTTGACTGAACTGTACAAATTAACTGAACTGTGACTTGCTTTTACTGAGCATATTCCAAGCCTCTTGTTACTATAAGCCAACCTGAGGTAAAGGCATGTTACAAACCATGTCTGAGGAGCACAGAGTCAAATGGAAGTTTGCAATGTGTGTGAGAGACCCTGGACAGCCAAAAGGGCTGACCTAATTCATTCAGAGCTCAGAGGATTGTTGAGTTTTAAACTATGAGTCCTAAATGCTTTCATTGCCTCTTCATTTCAAAGACGTCCAGAAAGAGAGAATATGGAAAATGTAAGGGCAAGTGTGGCCAGGCTAAATGGCCACGCGACAGTGTCTTCTCTATCACAGTAGGGATAGTAATCCACGGTGACACTCTTAGTTTGCTGATTTCACATTCATTCTCTAGTAATGGTCATCATCCTCTCTTTTGCTCCTTACATCAACCTCATGCAAAAAGTTTCAGAGATACTTTACCCAAGGCTCCTTATAACTGAACTGGTCAGAGTTAAGGTCAAAGTTAAGTTTCTATTGCAACTCTAATCTTAGGTGGATTAGAGATTTTCCTTATTTAAAACAAAAAGAAAAAGCCTTCCTTAGCTGGTAGCCTGGCTATAACATTTACTGTTGACTTGTTGTGTACCGTTGAGTCAGTGTTGACTCATAGCGACCCCATGTGATTATGGAGTGGAACTGCTCCACAGGGTTTCCTCGGCTGTAATCTTCAGGTCACCAGGCCCTTCTCCCACAGAGCTGTGGGTGGATTCAAACTGCCTACCTTTCAGTCAGTGGCCAAGTGCTTAACCACTGTGCCACTAAGGCTCCTTACTTGAGGATAGAGCGGGAGAAATTGAAAGTAAACTTGGAACTTTTTATAGCTTGTCAAACCACACCAGGGTGGAGGAGAACCTAATGCATCTTGCTGAACGGATAGGCCCAAAGGAAGTAACTCCAACTTAGATAACGGAGGCTGCTCTTTAGGCCGTGGTTCAAGTGCTACCGTTTTGAATTGATCAAAATGGTAGTTTTTTAATTTCTTCTTAATAACTTTTCATTGTGGTTTGAGTGAAAATTTACAGTGCAAATTGGTTTTCCATTCAACAATTCATACACATTCGTACATTTTGTTTTGTGACATTGATTGTAATCCCCACAAGGTAATAGCACTCTTCACGTTACCTGTTTCCATTTGTCCTTTTCTGTCCCTTTCTGCCTTCTGAGATGCGTGCCTAGGCAAATGCTGCCCTTTTGATGGTGTTTGGTTGATTGTTCTAAGGATTGTGGACCTCCCTAATGTTACTGTTCACCTTATAGGCCTGTCTGTTGTCTGCTTGAAAGTTGAGCCATGTGGTTGAGGGGAGAGAAGATGGTTTTTTATTTTTTTTTTTTTACCATGGCAGTTTCTACTTAGGTTTCTGTAACATGCGTGCAGTAAGTCTCCATTAAGAACAGGAAGTTGGTAAATTGTGTTGAAAAATAAACAAACCAAACCAGTTGCCATCAAGTCAATTCCAACTCACGCCTACCCCATGTGTTGTATAGCGGGCCTGCCCTCCGTGGGGTTTTCAAGGCCGTGAGCCCGTGGAAGCAGATTGCCAGGCCTTTTGTTTAATGCATCTCTGGGTGGATACGAACCACCTGCCTTTTGTTTAGCAGTCGAGTACTTAACCATTTGTGCCACCCAGGGATTCCAGATTGTGACTATGTTATGGAAAAATCAGCAGCATAATACAGAAAGACACAGAAATGCAGCTGGGACAGTTGTTTGCTTTGGTAACATTTACTCATATAAAGTTCTTGGTGAAGCAGGGTCAGTGACCTTTTGTGTGTGTGGGGGAGATGGAAGGTAGGCAGTGAGGGAGGGAATTCCAAGCAAAAATCATTCTTTCCCTTGGAAACCACCACAAAATTAACCAGCAGATGCTCTAAGTGAGCCTTTTAGGAAGATACTTTCTTTTATTTCTCAAATTATGACAATAATAAGTTATTTATCTTAAGCAAGATGGAGTCAAGATACTTCCACATCGAAGGACAGCCCCACTGGTGACTTTTCACATCCTGACAACACCAGTCACCTGTGGCTATTGAGCACCTGAAATGTGACAAGTCCAAATTGAGACATGTGTAAGTGTAAAATGAATACCAGAGTTCAAAGATTTAGTATGAGAAAGGATTGTAAAATATCCCATTAATAACTTTGCTATTGATTATATGTTAAGATATTTTGAATATATTGGGCTAAATATGCATACACTGTCTTGAAGAATTACAGCCGGAATACTGCTTAGAAGTGAGAATGGCCAGACTTTGTCTCTCAAACTTTGGTCATGTTATCAGGAGGGACCAGTCCTTAGAGAAGGATACCATGCTTGGTAAAGAGGAAGACCCTCGACGAGACGGATCGACACAGTGGCTGCCACAGTGGGCTCAAGCAGAGCAAAGATTGTGAGGCTGGCACAGGACCGGGCAGTCTCTGTTCTGTTGTCACAGGGTCACCACCCTTTCTTTTATTTCTCAAATTATGACAATAATAAGTTATTTATCTTAAGCAAGATGGAGTCAAGATACTTCCACATTGAAGGACAGCCCCACTGAAGAATTTGTTTCCTACTAGTAAAAGTTCCCCTATAGAACCTCCTAACACCCACCAGGTTTGGAGTATTTTCTGTAGAAATTAAAATTCAAAAAAAAAAAGCTGTGACAGACTAGGATGTTAAGAATCTGTTCCTCTGTGACGAGAAGAGCCTTGTTCTTGTGACATCTCTGACTGGTCTGGGTGTATATAGAACATACAGGGTGAGTTTTTAGTTGTTTTTCATTCCTAAGAATGCCTATGGCCCTAAAACATGAGAACTAAGGCTGTGTAGTATCTCAGGTACTTCTCAATGTATTCCTTAACCTCTTTGAACATGATTCAACTCACCTCTATAAAAGGAGTTGGGCTTTTGAGTCAGATATGGGTTTGCATTCTGAGTCCTCTACTTAGTTAGCATCTGTGTGACCTGTTACTGTCTGTATAAAATGGGGATAATAGTACAAAAATAATAATGGACGTTTTTGAAGTCTACTCATCCAACCTTCCATGACTCATTTGTCAGTTTGTTGTACTGTGGTGGATTGTGCCTGGCTGTGAGCGTGGAGGCTACGCCACTAGTATTTCAAATACCAGCAGGGTCACCCATGGACAGGTTTCAGTGGAGTTTCCAGACGAAGACAGACTGGGCCATCCACTTCTAATGAAATTGGTCACTGAAAACCTTATGAATAACAGTAAAACACTGTCTATTACTGGAAAAATAATACTTAATATTATCAAGTGTTTACCATGTGCCTGGCACTATGCTTAGGTCTTTACATATATTTTCTCATTTAATTTTTGAGACAAGCTTATGAGATAGAGGCACTGTTAGTACCTGCATTTTACACTGGGAGCTCAGGGAAGTCAAGGTTTCACAGCCAGTTAGCAGCAGAGGTCCTGATGCCAAAACCTATTCTAATCTTAAACTCTCTGCTACTTAACAGGGGTGTTGTGAAGAGGAGAGGAACCCTGGTAGTGCAGTGGTTAAAGCACTTGGCTGCTAACCAAAAGGTTGGTGGTTTGACCCCACCAGCCACTCTGCAGGAGAATGATGTGGCAATCTGCTTCCTTAAAGATTTACAGCCTTGGAAACCCTCTGCAGGATTCTGCTCTGTCCTATAGGGTTGCTTTGAGTCATAATGAACTTGATGACAGTGGGTTGTGAAGAGGACAAACAATGTATATGCAAATTGCTGTTGTTGGTTGCTGTTGAATCAGCTCTGACTCATGGCAAGCCTATGTGTTACAGAGCAGAACTGCTCTGTAGAGTTTTCTTACCTGTAATCTTTTAGGAAACAGGTCACCAGGCCTTTTGTTCTGGTAGGCTCAAATCACCAACCTAGGTTAGCAGTTGAGTGCAATCTGTTTGTACCACTTAGGGACCTTGTATATACAAATAATGTACAGAGAAGGCTGGCACGTGGTGGGTGCTGCTATTACATTAATGGGCAGATAGCCTATCCCTATCCTACCTTTTACCACGTTTAGAATATATTTAATTAAAAATTTCTAAGAGAGAGAGAATGATTAGAGTCTGTGTACGACATACTTATTAACCACATGGGGTGTTTTTTGGGTAGGTTATCCTTTGCAGAGAGCCAGGTACCAGTGGGTACGCTGCAATCCAGAAAGTAATTCTGCCAATTGCATTGATGAAAAGGGACCAATATTGGACCTACTTCCAGGTGAATCCAACAGAATTCTTCCTCCAAGGACTGACCCTTTTTCGTAAGTGGACTTTCTCTGATTTTAAAGGGATCATAACTTTACAACCTCTGCTGAAATCCTGGCATGGGGATGGGAGCATTGTTTAGAGTCTTTTCTTCAAGCTCCTGCTTTGTTGACTTGGTTTTTACTGCAGTCCTCAAAGTGCACTCGGTGGTGCTGTGACTGTGTTCTTACTCTAAGTCCTCAGGACTGAGTCTGAACCTCCACTACTCAGCTTTCCCTCCTATCCCTATGGATGAATGGTCCCTGCATTTATGCTGATCCTGGGCCTGTTTGCCCTCAGCGCCATTCCTTGTCTTTCCCCAGCCCTGTTATGTATCAAGGGGACTGACCTCTGTGGACCACATTTCTCAGGCTCTGGATCAGTGGCTGAGTTAAGCCAATGGAGCGTAAGGCAGGGAGATTGCAGAGCACAAGAGGAAGGGAGAGACCGGGGTGTTTCCTCTCACTCTGCTTTGGTGAACCCCTGGCAGGACTGTGTCCTGTCCACAGCTTCAGCTTCCATCAAATGTCCTAATCAGAGGCGCAAGTAACAGCACCTCCTTCCATTTTCCTCTCAACCTAGGGATAAAATGTCTTCTTGCTATTGCTAATCTTTGGATTACCTCACCATCCCCTATTTGGCTTAGCTTCTCTTCCATCACTTAAATATTCAATGGAATTTCCTAATTGGACCCTGGGTGTTGTAGCTTCTAAGGCCACCCTTCATTTGTGCTGGGGACCCTATCCGCACACCTCTTCTCCAGTGCTTCAGTTCTGCAGTTAGCCTCTCTGCCCTCCACGGCATTCTTATGCAGTCAGCATGCAAATATTCTTGTATCTCCCTTGTCTAGGTAAAAAGTCCTAGTTTGACCCTGCCTCTCACCAGCTGTTGCCCATTCTCTGCTCCTCTTCACAGTAAATCTTCCTGAAAGTGTTGCTTATATTTGCTATTTCCACCCTCTTCAACTCCCTTCTACGGGACTTCTGATACTCCAGCTGGTCATGTCTCTGTTTTTAGCTTACTTAGCTTATGAAGTCCCTTCAAAAAACAGTTGAAAACACACACACACACACACACACACACAACAGTTAACCACCACATCCTTTGAAATGCGTTCTCTGGGCATTTATGACCTCATATTCTCCTGGGTTCCCACCTACTTCCCTGGCTGTTCTTTCTCCTCTGCTCAACCGTTAATATACTGACATGTCCCTGGCTCTATCTGGGCCTCCTTCTCTATCTGCATGCTGTTCCTAGTGACCTTATCCTGTTCCATGGCATTTAATACCATATATATGTCGGTAACTACCAAATCCATGTTTCCAATGTCTCATCTCTTTTGCCTGATTTACTACCTGATCACCCTCTATCACATTAGTCTATTTTATTTTTCTGCATACCACTTGCAAAAAGGGCAAGGAGGCCACATGTTCTGACCTCCTCTAATCCCACAAGAGGAAGGCAGAATCACCATCAATAGCACAAGGCCTATTACTGCAAGGCCAGACATGCTGCCTCCCTCCAGCCCTTTCTCCAACCGTTCCTCCCAAAGCACCTACCACCTCTTTCCTGGATTCGATAATTCGCTGCAGTGGCCACACAGAGCTCACAAATTATGGGGTTTATTAGGGAAGCACCACAGGCTACAATTCAAGTTCAGGAAAAAAATGCTCACTCTCTCTCCCAGCCCACCATCCCTCAGCCAACAGTCTCTCACAGTCTCTTTCCCAGCAGTGCTGGTCCCTCGGTGTCTCACTCAGCGATGCGTGTCTCTTGCGTCTGTTTCACAGCAACGTGTGTCTTGGGAGCCCGTGTCTCTTTCAGCAGCACATCTTCCTCAACCAGCAGTCAGAGAGAGTCTGCCTCTAGAAGGCCTCCTTTTGAGCCTGGCAGGGTGGTCAAACTAGCCAATCATAGCATCAGAACTCTAAGCACTTGAGAGAGAGTGGGCACCTCCCAGAACATTGTTATGTGCCACTCCCAAGAGAAATACTCCAGGTGGACAACTTCAGCAATCAGGAGCTCCTCAGTTGCTCATAGAAAATCTCACCTTGGAGTTTACAAAGACTTATGAGTAGAAAACCACACTAAGTAATTCACTACACCACACCACTTAACATAACCTAATATTTTCCTGGCTTATTTATGCTTTTTATTGTCTGTCTTCCTCATTTGGATTAAAAACTTCTTGAGAGAAGGGACCTACTTTGACTGTACCCGTTCTTTCCCTGGCATCCAGAAGAGGGACCATATGTTCAATAAGTACTTATTGATTGCTTGTTTTATGGCCTATGGTTTATTATTTTCATTGAGAAAATTACCCAGAGGCTGTGAAACTCAATTCTTTGCTCTGATGCTTTGCTGCCCTGTTCTGCCACTTAGGGGTGGCACCATTGCTCTCATCTTTTGGTGCTCAGGGGACTTCTAACCACTGCACTCAACCCAAACACATTTGCCTTACCTTCCAGCTCTCTTCAGGTGAATTAATGCCCATTGAAGGTGGATAATTTTTTTATATTTTTTTGGGGAAGGAGGAAATTGAATGTCATACTAATTCATTGTTACGAAGAATTTCTCAGGAGTGAGCTTTGCTGAAGCACTCTAATTTATTAGAGTTTTTTTTGAAATTTTAAATTAAGAGACTATATCATCAGTTTAGGCTAACTTAGATGTTTATTGTTTCTTTAGTGGGAGAAATGGAAAAAGAGGTCTTTGTTTATTTTTAATAAATGACTCCTTACATAAACTTCAAATGTGAGGACTGCTAACATTTAAGCACAAGACTACTAGCTGAAAGGTTGGTGGCCCAAACCTGCCCGGAGGTATCTTGGAATACAGGCCTCACAATCAGCTTTTGGGAGGTCACAGGTCTACTCTACAGACATGAGGTTGCCATGAGTCAGAACCAACTCAACAGCAATTAACAACACCACCATGCTAGTGAGAAGAAAACTAACACTGCATACATGAGTCTGCAATGGGTAGAAGTGGAATTGATAAGTGACATGAGTTATGTAAGAAAAGTATAGGCAAACACATGGGAAGGCCTGATGTGTGTATATATATATATGTATGTTGTTGTTGTTGTTCTTGTTATGTGCCGTCGAGTCAAACCCGACTCATAGCGACCCCTCCTTGGGTTTCCGAGGCAGTATCACTACGGAAGTAGGATTGCCCAA